CATATATCTATATCTGTTCCTATCTATCTATCTATCTATCTATCTATCTATCTATCTATCTATCTATCTATCTCTGTTCCTATCTGTCTATATCTGATTATTTCTTTCTATCTATATATATCTGTTTCTTTCTTTCTATCTATCTATCTATCTATCTATCTATCTATCTATCTATCTATCTATCTATCTCAATCTATGTTTCTTTCTTTCTACCTATATCTGTTTCTGTTTGTCTATCTATATCTGTTCCTATCTATCTATCTATCTATCTATCAATATTTGTTCCTATCTATCTATCTATCTATCTATCTATCTATCTATATATATATATATATATATATATATATATATATATCTATTCATCTATCTATCTATCTATCTATCTATCTATCTATCTATCTATCAGTTTCTTTCTTTCTTACTATTTAACTATATCTGTTTCTTTCTATGTATGCATGTATATATGTATCTACTATCTATCTATCTATATCTGTTCCTTTCTATCTACCTATACATATATATATATATATATATATATATATATATATATATATATATATATTCATGTTGATATCTATTTATCTCTTTCCTTCTATAGTTTCCCTACTGATGGCCTGGTTAAGTTTGCCTCTTGTAGGGGTCCATCATTAATGCCAGCCAGTTCAGTTTGTGGGAGGAATTGGCATTGGCTTTATAGTCAGTCAGTGAGCTCTAAAATGTCTGTGAAAACCACATGGGCCCTTTTTTGATTGGTCAGAAAAGATGTTTTATGACCTTAGTATTTATGGACAGTATTCTTGAAGTGGACATGTAGAGAAGAACTCAGAAAAAATTAATGTTTTGTCATATATTATGTGAGTTAAAGGACTTGAGTTTGGACAGGGTACAACAATATCCTTGTAAACATTACTTCCTACTACCAACTCATGCAATCTTATAACACACCTCATTCAGTAACGCTCTATCTTGAGTGGTGCTTGAGCATTCTATTGTGTTAACATTAGTCAAAAAAAAAAAAAAATTTGTTCATATCAGGAATATAATGGCCTTAAACTCTAAACCTTTGCTTTCTAAACAGTGAAATATTCTTGTATTAAAATATCCTTACAACTATTTGAGATTAATTTTGGATTAGGATATTCAGAAAATAATTAAGTTTTTATTAGAAAGGTGATAAAAACAAATATAAATTAAATTTATTTTAATTTTATTTAAGTAATCACCTTTGAATTTTGAATATTGCTGCGGCATAGGGTCTGGTGATTATATATTTAGAGATTCGTGATGATATGCAAAGAATCTCCAGTTTTATTGAACCTGATCTGGCATCACACCTTCAGTCACTTTCCCACTGACACAATGTAGCTTCCATGTACCTCTTCTATAAATACTACATGGTAATTGTTCTGATAAACTTTCCTCTATGCTACCAAGACTTTTAAGATTTTAAGTGCAGTACTAGATTGGCAGCAAATTCTCATCATTTCACAGTTGAAATTGTCAGGTGTAACCGTAGGTTCTATGTTAACAGTTTCTTTATCATACTGTGTAAGTATATTAAGCTGAGTCCACAGCCTGTATGAACTCAAATAACTTTCTATTGATATATTTTCTTCAGAAAATATGTATCATTATATATTATTCAGTATTTCTTCTATTTGTCATATCTCGTCAGGGGATGGGCTGTCATGGCTCACCACAATTACCACTACTTCATAGCTCATAATAAATTTTGTCTTTTTGTTATTTCTCCTAAACCTTGTTCTACCATCCGTTTACTCAAGCTCACTATGTAGTTGTTTTCCTCTGTCCCTCTTGCTCTCAATCTGTCTTGTGAGTATCAGATTTTCTAAGACCTCTTTCCTCATTATGTGCCCTAGAAATTTCAACTGTCTCTTCCTGATGTTAAGCATAATTTTCTCTTTTGTTTCTATTTTCTCTAAAATTCTTTTGTTGCTCACATGTTTGGTTCATGGTATCCTCAGTATGTTTCTGTAGAGCCATATTTCTATTGCTTCAAGTTTCTTCAACTTTGAGTAAATTGTCTAGCATTCACTGACATATAGGAGGATTGATATCATTTAGCAGTTCATTGCTTATTTCTTTTCTAACAAAATTTTTCTGTTTCTTAATACTCGTGGAATGAATCTTTGACTATTCCACCTTTGGATTTCAGTGTTGCACTTTCCATTCTCTGACATATAGGAGGATTGATATCATTTAGCAGCTCATTGCTTATTTCTTTTCTAACAAAATTTTTCTGTTTCTTAATACTCGTGGAATGAATCTTTGACTATTCCACCTTTGGATTTTCAGTGTTGCACTTTCCATTCTCTGACATATAGGAGGATTGATATCATTTAGCAGCTCATTGCTTATTTCTTTTCTAACAAAATTTTTCTGTTTCTTAATACTCGTGGAATGAATCTTTGACTATTCCACCTTTGGATTTCAGTGTTGCACTTTCCATTCTCTGTTAAAACACATCTTAGATTTTTAAATATTTTTACTTGTTTGATTTTGTTATCTCCAATTTTGTAATTCCTTTTTGCTAACAGCCATGCACTTTGTCTTCTTGCAGTTGATGTTTAATCCTATCTTCTTCTAGGATTTTTTGCAGTTTTCTTGCCATGTCTGCTATCAACACTGTGTCATCTGCCTATTTTATATTGTTAAGACTGTGACTGCCAATAATTAATCCTGGTGGAATTTCTAATTCTCTCAGAATCCCCTCACTGTAAAGGTTTAATAAGTCTGGTGAGATGACACATCCTTGTCTTACACCCCTTTCTATTTTTGTATATCTACTGAACTCATTTTCTATCCCTATGAAGGCTGTTTGTTGCCAGTATGGGTTCTTGATTATTCAAATACCTTTCCCAAATATGTCAAGGTTACTAAGCAATTCCAACAGTTCTCCTTGGCCTCACATTTCTCAATCACATGAGATGGAACAACTACATTGAATCAATAGCTGCATCTACTGCAAGGAAAGTCAGTTTATTGTGTTATGCCAGAAAGTTTTTCTCTTCAGCATTCATCTTACACATCTACAAATATATCCATACATTGAATATCTGGTCTGTCACCCCTACTTCAGTCATTTTCTAATAAACATGATGTGGCTTCCCTTTGTTTTTTCTATGAATATTTTCATGGCAACTGTTCTAATAAGCTATCTTCCCTGACTATATGAATTTAAGTATGCTACTAGATTGACATCTAGGTCTCTCCATTTTACTGTTGAAATAGTTAAATATAACTGCCACTTCTACTCCAGAAGTTTCTTTTCTTGCACTTCCCAACAGTGGAACTCCATTCCTGTTACTTGCATCTCTGATAACTACAATCTTCAAAAATTTGAATGCAATGCCAATAGTCATCTTCTGTTTCCTTGATTCTTGTTCTTCTTTTATCCTTTACATAATCTCCACTATACATAGTTTTTTTCTCACTTTCACTCTCTGTAACCCCCTGCATGCTTGGGGTGAAATGCTTTAAAACAAAAATCTTTTGCATAATCTATAAAATACATACACACCTTTCTGCATTTCTATGGCTTTTTCTGATATCATTCTGAGCATAAATATTGCATTCCTTGTTCCAGCATATTTAACAAACCTGCATTATTCTTGTCTTGTTTCCAGTCTGATTCGGCTGTGTAATTTATTCATCCAAATTTCGGATGATAAGTTATGTTACATGGCTCATTAAGCTGATTGTCTGAAGGAGTTCACATTCATATGAACCAAGCTTCTTAGGGAGTGTTATGAAAATGGATCTACTTCGGTTTTTTGGTATATCACCACAATTGTAGATTCTACAATTGTAGATTTCATTAACATCTGTAATCTTGTCCAAGGCTGCCAACATCTCAATTACAATTCTGTCTGTTCCTTCTGTTTTGTTTCTTTTCAATTGGGCCAGTGCAGAAGCCTGTACGAGCTGAAACAACTTTACAATATCTACTGATGTAATCATATTTTCTTCCGAAAATATATATCATTACATTTTATGCAGTACTTAATAAAACAGAAATTAGCTAAATATATTTATAGATCAATATATTCTAGAATTTATACAAATTTGAAAACTATATATCATGCATTCCTTAATATATCTTTACTTCCAAATTTAAATAGTTTAAGTAAGGAGTATCAGTGGTACTTAAAAGGAAATGCGTTAGACTAATTTTCTACATTTAAGTTTTAAAAGTTGAGATATGAAGACATTGTCTATCATCCCACTTTTCAAAATGGATGCTATTAAAGTTGAGCATGTAAAAATATTTTAAATGTGTTTTTATTTATTTACTTCCGATATTTGTAATTTTGTTTTTTTTTTCTCTCAACAGATTATGAATTGGAATATAGATATTTAGGTTTGTATTATTTTGTATTTCTGAATATTTTTAATGATTTGAAATAAAAAAAAATGTTGAAGCAAGGAATTCCTAAAGAACATTTATTTTCTCTTGTCTGATTTTGGGTAAAATTAATGTATTTACGAGACTCGCTCCAAAAGTAATGCCATTTTATTTTATTCAGTCAGCTGTCTGAGGCAGGAGTGGCTTGTATGAGAAACATTATTTTTAGAGTGTCCTATTAATATGTATAGTAGTCGCTCCAAAAGTAATGCCTCTTATTTTATTATGTCAGCTGCCAATATTAGAGGTGTGTGATGGTTGTATGGCAGTACATGTTGAATATTCTTCCAATAAGGACAGTTTCATCTTAAGAAATGTGTGCACAGAAAGCAGTGTGGTTATTGGTAAAAAAATGGGATTGGAATATTGGAATTGCCTAAGTCAATGTGTTCACTTTTGTACAAATACCCTTGGGAAAATTATGAATCCATTTCTTCACCCTGCTTTGGATAAGACTGAGCTCTCTAGCCTTGGTTGGTAGCCAGTCTAGATGGATAATTCTGAGTTGAAAAAGGCTTACTTGCTATGACAACCATGCAGCAACACTAGCATGGTGAGGCTGTTACACTATATATATATATATATATATATATAGCCAAGAAAATTATTGAGATTATATATATATATATATATATAAATATATTAGAACCCCCCAAAAAAAAAAAATTATTTAGACTATATATATATATATATATATATATATATATATATATAAAAGGTAGGATGTGTGTGTGTGTGTAATGAATGCATGGCCACAATTTTGATGGATTTGCACCAAAATTTACATGCACATGCTCCAAGTTAGTGGAAAGGTGAAGACCAACTTTGCATTTCCCAACTCCCATTGATAATGGAAATAATCGATTTTTTTCATCCTTCAAAGGCACTTTTCATGTAGTTTGCGGCCATTTTGAACTGGCCGGAGTGAGAGCCTATAGCTGGCTGCCATGAATAGGCAGGAAGATTCTACTGGCCAACATGAGAGCCAACAGCTGACTGACAT